TCAGAGGCCTCGGAGAACTGTTCTTAGAGCAACTTGGTGATTTTCACGTAGTCACTATTCAAACCAGTCACTCTCAGCGGATGCCATGATGCGCGTCCTCAACACTTGCAAGGTGCACTGAGACGTGTCCTCATACCTCCCGGCCTCACGTCCAAGAAGCCATTTATACGTCACCAGAACGTGTTGCGCTCACGCGAAGCTCAACAAAAATAACAGTGATATATAATTATTTATACAAACGCAGCTTGGCATTGTGTACAAGTATGTGCATATATAAAATTCAGTAACTAAGAACATAATTTAGATTAATTGCCTAACCTAAACAGCTGGGGAAAAGAATGATCGATTGATTAAAAAAGGTATAACACTAAAGGTAAATGTTTAATTGCCCTTATATTCGATAACGATGCTGAATTATTGAGGAATATCACAGCGATAAATCAGATCAAGTATCGTCTAAACCACAAAGCGAAATCAGTCCTCATCAGGTATATCTACTGTTACAATTCCACACTTCAAGCATATGGACTCGTATAGATCCGTGTTTGAATAGGTCTTTAGCAACCCATGCTTGTAGTAAGAGGCGACTAACGGGATCAGGTGGTCAATCTCGTTGATTCTGCTGATGTATGTCACCTTATCCCATTTACATTGAGGGATGATCATGATATCAATCACTGAATTGTCTGGTCCAGACTCGTTTATTTACAGACCGCCGTCACATGGCTAGAATATTGCTGAGTGCGGCGTTGAACAACAATTCTACCTTGAAATTCGAAAATACTCGATTTTGATTGGTCAATCAGAGGTATCAAATCACAATAAACCCCCTTTGATTGAAACAGCGGATTTGACGACCGCAAAGCCGCGGAAGCTAATATTTTAGTAAAGTATATACAAATAATTAATTCTAAATGCAAAGTTGCGGTTACTACAATAATCAATGATTGTGGCAATACATTTCGTTCAGAAAACACGATAGAAATCAACGAAGGGAACGTATTTCAAGTTTTGAGGACACCAGAGAGCTACTGTGTGGTGCTTTTCTATATACGACTATGACGTCATGTCTTTTGCGTCACAGTGAGCGATATTTTTCTTACGGGTGGTCCACCTCATATCAATCTCATTACAATCAGATCTAAGTTCCCGCTGCCGCTAAACAAAGATCTGAGGACATCCCATTACGGGTGACATCAGAACGACCTTTCATCCGACCAATGAAGCCGTCGCTTACCAGATCATGAAAGTGACAGTCGAAATGCAGAACACAGTTTTATCACACACACACACACACACACACACGCTCACGCACGCACACACACACACACACACACATTGTTATCATATAATCCACAATCTTAAGGTCTTTAGAAAGTACAGTTTGGCGCGAACACTATAATATCGTTCATTCAGATACTGTCCCGATGATTGGACATCTGTATTAGAATAATTGTGGTCGGGTTCCTCGTAGTCACCTTCCATCTCACCATGTCTGGGGATATGATCGGGATTGAACAACGGATCAAGAACGTAACCCATGCCGAAGTTCCACAACTCAGCTTACTCAAATGATCACACACCATGCTGTGATATTACAACTCCGCACAGCGATGAGTCACCCAGTGATGGAACTTGATCCAATGGTAACCTCCCTACAATAAGGAAGTATTTTCCCGCCCATGTAAGTAGCGACCTATCTTTTGGAGACTGTTAATTATTTTCCCAGGTGCTTACACAATATTACCAGTTTTGACATAATATGTTTAATAAAATGTTTAATACCATTATCAAATCAATCGTTAAAGAAACAGAGATGAATTATATTTATCAGATATTTTCTAAATGTATAGGACTTTTGGTTTTCACAAGTATTTAAACATGTCAAGACGTGGAAGCCCAGCGTAGGAATGAATGTGCAAGGCCACAGTGCCGTCTAATCCTGCAGGAGACACTAAGCAGTCATAACTACGACTTCAGATGCTGACGTATTGCGAGTTGTTCAAGTAGTATCGAATGTCCTTGACTTAACTCATCCTTGAATTGTTTTGATGAGGATATGCAATATGTGTCTGGATATTATGTATCTATTCAGGATGATGTGAAGAGCCATTATAGAGTCTATAATTAGATGTTTTGTTTCACTCCACTCGAGGAATATGTCGGATATGTCAGACACATGTACTTATAAATGTTCGTCGACATCCTTACCACCAGCAACATCTGGTACTGGCCCTGAAGCAGTATTTTGTATCATATTTATTATATCAAGACTTGACCATGGCGCCCAAGGCGCCGTAGTTCGCTGTGCAGAGTTGCGTCAAAAACCGATGAGCATGGGTTCGAATCCAGTTCGCCCCGATTATATTTCTAAGTTAGCACCACACCGTATCATGTCAGCACCATGCCGTCCTCGTGGGTTTTACCAAAGTGTCGAACGTCTGAGACCTGTACCACTTTGGGCTTTTCTACCACATTAAGCTGACACGCCGTGAGACGACTGGAATACTGTTCAAAGCGGCGTTAAACCCAACTCAATCACTCCATAGGAAGGACAGAAAAAGTGCATTTCACTCTGATGATACATACCGATGTATATCATTACAATATTTCTGCAAAGCTTTTAAAGCAAATTGACATGTTATTTGCATAAATTGTATTTAACGAATGCAGGTACTATAAGTTCATTATTATACAGATGAAGCATCGATGGGACATAAGAAGGAATCTCAGCTTAATTGTACCTCCGTGGGGAACAAGGGGGGAACAGAGTAGGTCCCCATTTCCCAATGACCCTTCTAATGCAAGGCCACGAGAGTGTCGTTACTTTGGGGGCAAGTATTGTGGCTCATACCATTGACCAGCCCTATAGTTGGTTCAGAATCACCTTTGTACAAGCAGCTGCGATTAAGACGTAAACCTATTAGTGTGAACTGTGGCACACACAAAATCAACTCGCTCTGTGTTCCATATGTGAAAGGCCATTCTACAAATGCAATAGACTGCAACATGTCTGTTGTTACATAAACGTCTGCAGACAGTAATCGACTTGCAGCAGACGAGCCAGTGCGAAAATGGTTTAAGTAAATCTGGGTTGGAATGGCACACATTCCCTTGTGATACGGGTCAAATCAAGGAACATTCCGAGCTACCTTATGTTTAAACATAAAGTAAAAACGTCAAATGAGATTAGAAGTGTTTACCTTGCGAAATGTTGAATAACCCGTCTCGATTTCAAAAGAGACAATCAACACAGAATATGATATAGAAAGAGACTTGGCAAAATAAGTATTTGGTAAGTGTTTGTGACTTGTGGATCGCTATAGGTAAACAAATCTCACTGAGCATGCACAACGCGCAATGCACGTTAACAACGCGGAGCTAAATTCATGTTCCTTCTCAATTTGTTCCACAATTTATTTTTAGAAAGAAAAACTATCGATTCGCCTTGGGAGGGAATACCCTCACAACGACGATGTGTGACATAGCGGCCATGGCTTCTTTCCTTCCACAGCCATCGTGAGTAGTTGACATGTTCTGTAATGAAACAAACATGCGTCTGCGTGTCTCCAGACCAAGGTCATACACAACCCCAACGCAACCATTATCGAAAAACATTGAACTCAAGTAAGTATACTTCTAAATTGCATCGCCCAAGATTTAAATCATTTCCTGTAACAAATTCGTAGTATTTACGGCTTCTTCCATTGACATACAAGTTCAATGTAAGAGTTGACTAATTTATTTGAATACCGTGAAGATCCAGATTAGAATTGGTCTCCAGCAACATATGCGTGTGAGAGAAGACTAATTGGATTGGGTGGTCAGACTCATTATATTGGTTGATGCATGTCATCTTATCCCAATTGTGAAGATCAATGCTCATGATGTCCATCACTGGATTGTTGGGTCAGGCTTCGATTATTTACAGACCGCGTCATATATCTGGAATGTTTGTTAAATGAATTACATAAAAAAGAAATTACTTTTAATATTAGAAACCCCAAAGTAGAATTGTTATGACCACACACCGTTTAATATCACATGTGGGGGCACGGGTGGCCCAGCCGTCTAAGGCGCTGTGCAGAGTTGCAAATTTAACGTGCCTTATCTTACCCTTCGATAACGGCTTATCAACAGGATGTGCGTCAAAAGTTAATAAATGTTGGAACTTACCTTGTTCATGATAGTTAAGAAATGATTTGGGGTAGGAATATAGTGTTCATTTATATGTTCATAACATACTGCAATAACAAAATTCAATGTCAACTTTAAACTCACTCACACAATCACACACTGACTAAGCTAGAGCTGTGAGAGAGGCACGGAGGGTCTATGTAACCAGAGTTGCGTCCCTTAGCTACTAGGATCAGCTGATCTTGTTTGACCAACACACAGGGAAGTGATTAACGGTTAGGACCGGACTCATTTGAGCTTTCCTTTCGCTTGAAGCAGCCGCAGGCACTGATAAGACCGAGATATTGTTACATGCCACTCACAATAGTATCAAATTTTTGGAAAATGCCAAAGCGTGCGTCAAGCGCGTGTATATCTACCGTAATCAAACCCATCAATGCTCTAACAAAGTTGAGAACATTAACTCATTAAATGTCCCTATGTAAATCTTTCTGGGACGAATTAGGCGCGTGTTTCCATAAGGAGGGGGTTTGACTGATTTATAATGCTGCTGGCAGATGTGGCGTGATATGTGAGTTTGGAGGAACCGTCAAATCAACCTTTTTCTTCTTTATTTAGGCGACATCAGATGAGAGGTTATACGCGGGAACAATGTCAGGCACCATATCTTCTGTCTGTCACGGCTGTGTGAGCTATCACTAAGAAAACGTGTCTCGTTTAACGCATCCTTTGCTCGTTTAATTTGAAAATCGGTAATGTTCGGACGTAACTCCTGCCTCGATCTCTGCTTCATGGCTTTTTTCAGAGATTACACTGCGATAGCTCCGATAATGCCTCAAGGTCCATTCTCTGCACCAAACATTTACACCGACACTGCCAAGCCATTATCGTATCAATAGCCAGTTAGCTCTTGCTCTGCAATAATTCCACGAGTCAACTTTTCTTCGCATTTAATGCTGAGGGACGGCGAACGGAGCGCGCAAGGATTTAGCCCGAGAGTAAATCAATTACATGCGCGGTGTATGATCATGCTGTCTCGTATAGAGGCCCTGTGTTTTCCAGTTGACGATGCCAGTCGTACAACCTGCTGGCCTGGTTTGACGCCTGGCGTTTGCAAGTAAAGGCAGTGTCGTGTCAGAGACAACCATTTGCAGAGGGAAACGCCACTTCCAAGAGGCAGACGACTCGCTAATAAAATCAGACAGTGGCAGAACAGAGTGAGAAGGAAAACTTCTGACAAATGGAATGAAAACACTTATGATGGTTTGAGGTACATCGTCTTTCCAAGTTTCGTGGAATAACGGACACTTGCGAATCTGTGACAGTAAATGGAATAGAAGGAACCTTTACGCAGTGGAAGAACTTTCACAATATCGTGCGATTGAGGCGAGGGATGCATTAACAAATTTTCGGTTCGACGAAGCCGCGGTGTTAATGGCATCGTTTCCCGTTCTGCAGGGTTTGTTTAAGCTATCCCAGAGGAAATTTCCCTTGGCCGTCCAATGAAACCCTGCGTCGTCCAATGTTTTTAATTACACGATGTTGAGATCAAACCATCAACGTGCGCCCATGGGCTCGATTCAGAATTGATCGCTGTCGCATCAGGTCCAAGGGAACCGGGGAAGGAGAGAGTGGGGGAAATTTTCCCCGCAGGACGTCAGAGGACAGAACATTCTATATAACGTTTTGCATCTCCTCGCCGGTAACCATAATCCAGGGCACATGGAACTACGGCTGTATTGAAAGAACAGCGCTCGTCTCTTAATGTAGGCAATATAACTACAGGAATGGTTGGTCTGGTGAAGTGCTGGTTCATTTAGGGGGCAAGTGGGATTTGCCCCTTCCGAAAACTTTCAAATCTTCTCCTATTTTAGTAAAACATGTATTTATGGGAGCCAAGAGGGATATTTGCATCTTTTGTTGCAACGCTCGGATTAAGGTGACAAGGACGCGGTGGAATCATTTGCCGAAAGGTCGGCTGAAGACATGGCAAATCCTGAAAAGATCTGGAGACATTTTAAGATCCAGATCTGGCCAAGCATTCTGTTATCATCCTTCCTATGGGTTGTGTTGCTGTTCCCCTGGATTAATGGCATCGATGTCGTAAGTAATAAAGTGTGGCTCTTACTTCGCTTCAATTTGTAGTTACGCAGGCTATGGACATCAATCTTCCTAACGCCACTATCATTAACTTTTGTGATAATCGAATTCTAACCATTTATTGCACCTTTCATAAGTGGTCGCTCGCTTTTAATGACCCTTATTTTCTTATCTTCCGGGAAACGCGTAAATCGGTGTTGTCGTGTGGCTGATGAGGTTTTGTTAGTGATGGTATTTTTAACATTATCAACTGTTTTTATTCATGTCAACTGTTCGATATATTATTATAAACGATCGATTTTTTTCTGTGTCTTAAACTGACTGTTAATATAGTTTGAAACAGTGTAAAGGAAGTTTTGAAAAGATCATAGACTCTCACTCGTTTATCACTATGACTTTTCTTATATAATAACAATGCGTTTGGTCTTTATAATGTATGTTGATATGAAATAAGGATATACCACATCATTTTCGTAAAATTCCTGAGAAGTGAACAGTTGTATTAATTCATGTTTAATTTGTAAAATGCTGGAATACTGTAGTTGTATAAACATCGACTAATATGCTACGTCAATTTATAGAAATATCCTGATGTATTTCAATAATATGGTAGGAATATGTTTTACGTTTTGTTTTGAGACAAGTTGATTTTTGACAGCCAACCAGGCTTGTATATTCATACATGTCAAACGTCTGCACAACCTGTTGCTGATATTACTTGTCGCAGGAAGATAGTGTATAAATGTTTAAATACCAGGACGCATTTTCGAATTTGGAATATTATGATCAAAGGACACCATAAGCCTGTGGCGCACAGCTAAGGATCAAAGTCGTTGCCAATACGTATTGTTTGTGAGGCATATTCGTGAAAGCTGATGCAACTCCGATGTTGGTTTAGATTCAAATGCATGAAGCCTTTGTTATTCGGATGTCTTTGCGATACTTTTATTCCAAAATAGCAGATTAGGAAGAGGGATCTATCGTACTGTGAGCACAAGATGACATATAATACTCCTTCTCTGAACGCTCTTGTGTGTCGCCAGAAGTTCCCCACCCCTTTAACACCAATGGTACCACCAGTAGCTTAATGGTAAGACCGTCTGACGTAATTTGAAAAGAAAAAGAAAACATTTTCTGACACACAAAACGAAATAGACATCCCTTCTTGTTAATAACTGTATCTTTTTGGAAAAGAAAATCTGCTCAAAATATATTTCTTGTTATTGTGTCCCGTTGAGACTTGTCTGTATTTATTCCAGGTAAGGTTGATGGCATGCATGTGGTGTTGTGCGATTAAGTGAAACTTTATAATTGAATAAGAAAGGAGAAGGATGCTCGTGATGTAGTTTGCACAACCACCAGTGGGGCAGATGAAGCTCAACTTTTACCGAACACCTGGTGCCATCCCTAATTGATAGTGATTCAAGGAATCATACTTATGCTTATAATATGGAATCGTACAACAATATATTTCTAATGATTATTGAAATGATTTCGTCACTATTGTAATGGGTCACTTAACACATTTACATGTCCATCGAATGGACTTTGGAATACTTATTTTTGCCAAATCCAAGCAGAGGAAAACATGTGATGTAATTAACTTATATATAGCGTTTTAATTATTGAATGGTCCTCATTCTGAAGGGCGGTCGGGTAGCCTAGTGGTTAAAGCGTTCGCTCGTCACGCCGAAGACTCGGGTTCGATTCCCGACATGGGTACAATATGTGAAGCCCATTTCTGGTGTCTCCCGCCGTGATATTGCTGGACTATTTCTAAAAGCGGCGTAAAGCCATACTCACTCACTAATTTTGATGGATAAAGGCACATAGTGATCCTGAGAAGAGATCAGTGTGCCAACCCATGTTTCCATTTGTTGACCTAATGCCTCTGAAGTATGGAAGACCGCCAAGACGACTGGGTCAGTGAGCGTGGGTGTTCTGGTCCTCCCAAGACTGATCACTATTGCCTAGGATTGTATGCCTGTATACGGCAACGGCTTTTTAATGTCCTGGGATTCTTGTTTCAGAAGGGATTGTTTTCTCAGTCAGTACACACACTGATTTGTCCGAAAGAAGGAGCTGACATTTATTTCACTAAAAACTTGTTTCTAAAAACATCTAGGATGCCCAGTGAACGATTTATTATTTCGCGTAAAACCTGAGAATAAATTATACTTTTCCAGGATTTGGGGACAATAAATCTCAGGCCCCATCTGTCAGAATATCGAGTACTCGGCCCATAACGAGTAATAGCTCAACGCACGCTATGTATCTCCTATTAGGCTTTAAGACATAAATAAAATATACAAATATTTAAAAAACCGCTTATAAGTTCACGTATGGGACATTTGTCCGGAATATATAACTATCATGTAAAACAGATCCAGGGGATGCTTAGGAGGACATGGTTATTGAGCACGTCAATATTATGCACTAGTAAATAATATATATGAAGCTAGGTTACTGAGAATTAAAATACCATTCCCTGTTTTGTATGATGGGAAATGTGTTTAGTATATCCAAGTTGTTGTGGGCATCTGCAGAAAGTATGGAGCATGTACATTAGTCACCTAAAAGGAAGAAATACGCAAAGACATGCTATCTTTAGTGTTGCATAAGTGACGCTTAAAAGCATCTTCTTACTCTGATTCGGTTATATCACGGCATGTCTAAAGTTGGTCGAAAGCCGAAAGTGAAATCGGTTAAAAAACGAATATCATTTTGTTCAAACCAACGCGCATGGGTATGATAGAACACAAACCTGGGTTTCGACCCCAAAGCCAGTCGATTCCAGCAGATAATATCACTAGGGCTGCGGTGTTTTAAATCACAGGCATTCCATTCCGTCCTGTACATTTTTGTTTCAGTGGCGGATGGTCTCGTGAATACATGCATATATATGCTAAAACACGTAATTTTCACTTTTTACATAAGCAATGCCTCAAAACTCTTATACGGCTTAGAGGTGATATTTGGTGCAGTTTTTTCACTTAATGTGCTAAGAATCGATTTATAAAGTGGTTATTTGTGAGAGACAATTGCGAATAGAAACCAAGATTGAAGAAATCGATATCATAAACGCACTTTTCGTGAGTCTGGTTTTCGTTATTTTGGCTTCTTTCTTTGGACTGTTCTCAGATATATATGTAGATTGTAGGTGTGTCACTGTGGCATTACTGTGTGCAGGCATACATTTTCAGGCACATACAAGTTGTTATTTTTCTAGAAATGAAAACGACGCCGGCTGTGATTGTTTTATTTTGGGCGAACGTCTTGCATCTATCGATTTGTTTCTTGTACATCAAAGCAATGCGAACAGATTGTGTGCATTGATATTTCACAAGATGATAAGAGTTGACTATGAAACAAGGTAAGACATGACAAAACTTCATTGATCAGTCTACAAACAATGTTTGACTGACTTCAAGTAATGAGGACCACCATTAACAATTATTGGTATGTTGTATTGCAACACATTAACCGAATGACCCTTTGTGATCGGAAACAGTGCAGATGCAACAACATTTAAAGTTCTTTTTGGTCACCAGAATAACATTTAAAGGACCAAATCGGTGCCTGTTATATTACATGAAACATTAACATAAGATAACAAGTTATGTTGTTGATGACAATAACGCATTACTAAGGGAGTGCGTTACATTTGACATCAGAGGGGCGGTCGGGTAGCCTAGTGGTGAAAGCGTTCGCTCGTCACGCAGAAGACCCGGGTTCGATTCCCGACATGGGTACAATGTGTGAAGCCCATTTCTGGTGTCCCCCGCCGTGATATTGCTAGAATATTGCTAAAAGCGGCGTAAAACCATACTCACTCACTCACTCACATTTGACATCAACACTTTCATGTACTAGCCCCTTCATTTACATATTTGTGAATATGTTCTGTTTATTTCGTTTATACAACTACAATAACAATTACCTAAACATATTTTTCTCTCTCCGTTCACGTTGTGTTTTAAAAAAGTCAGAACAATAGGTCATGCAAGCGTCACATCATTTTATAAAAAAAATGATAGTTAGTTAGCGCTTCATGTTGGGCATCACGCAAGGACATAATTCACAGTGATGGCGATTTGTCTTGGAGTGGAGTAAAGAAATCCCTTAAGTCTCATTGGACAGAATGGCATCCATTCAACATTTTGACTGCAATTGATGATCATCGGTAGGACGCGGCACAGAGGATAATCTCTTTACGGCCCTCGTTTATATCTGACATCCTCAGATCGAAAATGAAGATTAGAAACTCTTTAAAGTACTTTCTACGTAGATTTATTAAGAAACTTGTGAAAGTGTGCTTGAAACAGCTGTTTTTTACAACCATTGGGCACATCCTCATGCGCTACAGACTCTATTCTCCTATCTTTTTGTCGACCACAGACGGCATACATTTTCAATTCAGTTCAATTTTGATACGTTTTATAAAGCGCAAAACCCTGTTTTTGAAAACGAAATAGCTATCTGTTAACTGAAGTGACGGAACTAATGATAAGATTCGAATGGTTGTGAGCAGGTTGTTGTGAAACATCTAAAACTGGCAGGTATAACTCAAATAGCATGAAAGGTTGCCCCTAGATTTTAGATGGACGTTTTCCGAAGTCAAGAAACAAACGCAAATAGTTAGTTATCGCTTTTCGACAAAATGCATAATCTTATTCATATTATGCACTTTTAACATTATTTAAGTGTATTATGAGCGTGGTTTCTTGACTGTAGTGCGTGTTAACTGATGCCCTAATCGTGTGTTCCAGTTTCGTAAGCATATAACACCACCTCTGGTCCAGTGGTAGAGCGTCTGCCCGGAGGAGAGCGGAAGATCGGCAGTTCGATCCTCGCCCGCGTCACACAAAAAGACGTTACGAGATGGTACTTGTGGTTACCCTGCCTGGCGCTCGGCATTAAGGCTGAAACAAGGATTGGTCGGTTCGGAGTCAGTATACTGAGTGGGGTTTTCTTGTAAAACTGCGGCATATGGTATCTCAGTG